AATCCATCGCAGGGCACAATCACGCACACACTCACACACCATTCACACACTACGGACAATTTGGAAACGCCAATCAGCCTACAACGCATGTCTTTGGACCGGGGGAGGAAAGTGGAGTACCCGGAGGAAACCCCCGAAGCACGGGGAGAACATGCAAACTTCACACACACAGGGCAGAGGCAGGAATTGAACCCCCAACCCCAGAGGTGTGAGGCTAACCACTAAGCCACCATACCCCCCTGTGAGCATCATATGAGTGAAAAAAAAAAAAGCCAAGTGTAAACAAACCCTAAAAATTCCCTGCAATGAACTGGCATCTCATCCAGGGTGTACTCCTGCCTTGTGCTCATCATTCTTGGGATGAACTCCAGATCCACCATAACCTTGACGCTTACTGAAGAAGAATGAATGAAAGAATGTCCTTTCAGACATGGGACTATTTTTCCAGAGTGAAAATTTGTGGCTATGTATCACATATTGTGCCTTAGTGTACTGCTTAGATAAAGCATATACACCCAGAATGACTTTTTAGTGAGAAAGTTGAATGAAATCCCATAAGAACAGCTTCTTTCATGTTTGTTTCATCCTAACACCATTACTGTTCGTGCGTAACTGGCGTAGTTTTGTAATTTAACGGTAGAATTCAACAACTACCCTTAGACTTACATTAAAATTGCATTTGGTGTAAACAGGTTTTCTGTCCTCACACACAGAAATGTGTTGAAATTCATGGTAATGAAACATATTACCATAAAATAAAGATTAAAATAAAGATTATGTTAAATTATGTTAAATGTTTTCTTTTACTCTCAGCTGTTTAGCTAGCAAATAAATGCATTAATAAACAGTCACTACAGCCACATATAGCCATGGCATGTTTGGGAATGTAAATATATGTAGTTCCTGCACTCTTGAATAAATTAACGGTCTAAAATGCCAGATGGTGTTATTACAGGTGCACTTTTTATTTACACTGACAGGGTTTGCTGTTATCAGAAAATAATCAATGACAGGATGGTGTGATGTGGCTCGATGTGAAGCGTGGTTATTCTTACCACCCAAAGTTGATTATTTTCCTATAACAGCATGTCCCAAAGTGTTTTATTGCTCTTATACCACAGCAATTTGCCAGCAAGAACAAGTTTTATTAATTAAAGCATGACACATTATACTTTTTATCCATTTACAGTTACGTTTAGTGTTACGGAACGTTTGTGAAACAAGACGGATCCAGGAATAAACTGTGGTTCCCTCACCAGCCTAATTTTTTTCTTGCTCTCTTTAAGGCCAGATTTAATCTTTTTTTCCATCAGAAAACTTGAAGGAACAGCTTTACCAGAAGCACTGACACTGGAGACTCCTTCCAAAAAATGTTAAATAAATGTCTCCTCACAGAAAACCTCACAGTAGTGCAACCCTGTGTATGTTGTTACTACAGAAATGATCACGTATTAGAGCGAGTGCATAAATATAAACCTGTGATTTGCAGCCAGAACTACTGTCAGAGCTGCTGTTATAGAAAATAACACCTTCTGACCAATCAGAAACAAGAATTCAACAGCATTGTGGTATAATGTGTATTAATCTATTCATGTTATGACCAACCCACCCATGCTAACACACTCTTCTTGGTCATTGGTTGCTTGTTTTCAGCTTCATTATATTGTATATGCTGCAGTGTTCCCCCTTGTTTGTAAGGTTCCCACAATACATGTGATTTTTTTTCTTTCAACATAAGAAGACAAATACATTATACACTTGCCGTTCACAGTTGCTAGGCAACTGGGAAATGTGGACAACGAATGCGCGGACAACTCTTCACTGTTATTTTGCCAGGAATGAGGCTTGTAATTCAGTTAGCTGTTAATTCTTTTGTACAGACAGTGTAAAGGTCCAGTGACCATAGTAACAAGATAAAAATATTGACAATATTAATAATTTCCTCAGATGTATTGGTAAATTCCTAATACAAACTCTGTATGTCTAAAATGACACTGTAATTACACTTATCCGTTATTTGCTAATCAAACTTCCATGGATTATTCTCTAATCAAACTTCCATGGATTGCTCCATACTGAGAAACACTAATCTTACAGCTCAAGAACTCAAATTTGAGCTGTACAAATCTTTGTGAATACAAGAGTAAGCCTTTTACATGGTATCTTTTTTCTATACTGATATGTCTATCTAGTACCTGCCTGTTTGTTTTAACCGGCCCTATATTTTGGCTAAGACTCTCTGACTATCCTTGTTAAACAGATTGTCAGTTTGTGCCCTTCACTGCTGCATGTTAAAGGAGAAGTGCTTTGATTATAGAGAATTGTTTCAAAATTTTACACTTCATCACCCCCTGGATATTACACTGCAGGCAACATGCTGTCCCTGTGGGATGAAAAGACATCACTGTTCAGCGCAGAATAATGCTGAGATTGGTGCGTGGTGGTGCGAGCGGCAGCGCCAATGGGCAGGATTGTTTTCAGATGTGTGTCAGACAGAGAGGGTCTGCGACTCGCGACAGCTGCATGGCTCAGAATGAGAACATGGAAATGAAGTAGCAGCAGCGACCGCAGTAAAATCCCTCAGAGCTCAGCTGACACTTATACAGTTTAATTAAGTGTTAACGCTATTTGCAGGAACTCGAATTGAATTAACACCTACAGGGTCACTTTAAGTTCAGCTGGTTTGAGATGAACACTGTAGCCCTGGTTAACACTGGGGATTTTGCCACAAGAGTACCTTTTTTCCAATGTGGATGGTTTCAGTATGGAAAGTGTAATAAATATCACATGTATACTGTTTTCAGGATCATCTGATTAAATGATTAATCTCCATGCTGGAAAGTCATGCAGATCATCCTGCTATGAGAACCGGGTGAAATCCCACACAAATTGGTGGTTAGTCACTTACCAATGTTAATCTCATCATCGGTTTCTGCGTCGCCGATGCATTCAAACTGAAAATCCTGAAGGGACTGTGAAAACTTCTGCACAGCTGCAGAAAGATCTGCGAAAAAAGAGACATTTTTGTGTCAGTGTATCTGTCATCATAGCAGTTCATCTAACTATAATTTTTCCAGTAAAACATTCCTGTAAAATAAAAATATATTGATATTTATGCATACTACTAATAACAGCTTTTGGATGGGAATCTCGGGAACCTGAGGCTACAGTGTGCACAGACTCACCAAAACTGAACAGTCTGTGCCCACTGTAGCCTCAGATTCCTGTTCTTAGCTGACAGGAGTGGAACCTGATATGGTTTTCTCCTGTTGTAGCACATCTGCCTCAAGGTTCTGTACTTTCTGTGATGCTTTTCTGCTCACCACGGGTGTAAAGAGTGATTATTTGAGGTAGCCTGTCCTTCCTGTCAGCTCAGACCAGCCTGGCCATTCTCCTCAGACCTCTCTCATCAACAAGGCATTTCCGTCTGCAGAACCGCTGCTTACTCAGTGTTTTTTGTTTTTCCACACCATTCTGTGTAAACCTTACAGAGTTTCTCATTTGTTTGTTAAGCAGGCGTTTGAGTAGGAGCCATGTTGCCATGGCATAGAGCAGCGAACAGAACAGCATGGGCAAAGAATGAAAGAAGACAGTGTGAGAGAATGAAAAAAGGAAAAAGAAATCCCCCCGGAAGATGCATCACATCTATCTATCTATCTTTATATATGTAAATGTATATATATATGTATGTATATGTGTGTGTGTATATATATGTGTGCGTGTGTGTGCATATATATGTATAAAGATAGATAGATAGATAGATAGATAGATAGATAGATAGATAGATAGTTTTTTTTTTAGAAATGTAGAGAGACCCAATCATTGGAAACAGGTAACATATTCTGATTAGACACATTATAAAAATAAAAAAATAAAAAGAAAAAAAGAAAATCACAATACTTGACACTGTTCAATGAAAAACTACAAAATAGCCAAGCATAAAAATGTCTTTAAGTATAAGGACAGGATATTTTGCCATAATACCCACCCCACCCTAGAGATAGCTCTGCTTACGTATAAGGTGTTTAATGAAGAGATACGTTCAGTTATAGAGTCGTATTATGTGCAGTTAGATGTTAGCTGCTGATTTCTATTAGTTTGGAATGTATACCCCAAAACAAGACTGACGGCGCAGCTGTTTTTAAGATCTACCTAATCATTTGTTTACATTCTTGACGTAGCTTCATTTTATTTGGGTTTTCCTGAAAAGTCTGGAAATGGAGTTGGGCTATGTTAAGCTTTTCCTGTGTAAACCTGTGAGCACATTTGCATAGCTGAAATGAAGCAAACAAAGACAGGATCAAAAAGTCTCTTCAGAAACATAACGGGAAGAATAAAATCTCTTTCGCCCAGGTCATTTCTTCAGATTTATAGCAAAACAATTTTATAATTTATTTAAAGCACACGGAATATTTGATGTTCATAGAAATGTTGACGTATGAAGAATACTATCCCACAGCACTGTTGAATTCTCAAATCTGATTGGTCAGAAGGTGATTAATTTTCTAAAACAGCAGGTCTGACAATAATGTCCTTACGTTTCCAGTGTCAGCTCCTTGTAACAGTCTGAGTAACAGTCTGAGTAACTAAAGCTTCTTTAGGATAGAAGAATTTGCAGTTTCTCTGTAACATGACAAGCTACATTTTTTTTTTGTCTTATCTTCAAGAGGGAGAAAAAAGAGAAGCTGGTGAAGGAGCAACTGTTTATAACTGCTATAACCTAAGTGAAAATAGGAACTAACTTGTCTCCTGGATATTATCACAATAAATATCAATAGTTGTAAACAATGTAATCATGTTTTATTCCTTACTTAATGAAAACTGATTTCCAAAACCATTGCCCATGCTCCTGATGGTAGGTGTGTGCGCAGAATTGGGAAAATAGCAGATTTAGAGGATGTAACAGGCACAAACATAGATTATTTGTTCAGATTCACAAATACCAGTCATTATTTACTACTATAATTACAACTGAGGCAAAATGACAAAATGACAGAGTTTTCCAAAAAAGCGTAGTGGTTATCATGTTTGCCTCACACGCAAAAGGTCCCCGGTTTGAAACTAGGCAGAAACACAGGTACACTTTTGCTGCAGTGGCAGCTCAGTGGCTAAGGCACTCAGTTACTGTTCAGAAGGTTGTGTGTTCAAGCCCCAGCACTACCAAGCTGCCACTGTCATGCCCTGAAGTAAGGCTCCTAACCCTCTCTGTTCCGGGGCACTGTGCTCCGACCCCAACTCCTAAGAAGCTGGAATATGTGAAGAGAAGAATCTGGCTGTACTGTAGTGTATATGTGACAAATAAAGGCTTTCTTCTTCTTTATGACACCTTTTTAGACAGTCAGAAAATAGACTAATAGGAGGAAGAAAGGGAAAATTTTGAGAGAAAATAAAGTTTTTTTTCTATTGGTTTGGTTAAGTGGTAGAGAGAGTGGTATTTTGTATTTTATTATTATTATTATTATTTTTTACCAGTTATGATGATTTACAATCCTTTGGGAAACTTGGTTCAAAATATTATCTCTGTAATACAGATGTGGGTTTAAAAAAATATTAAATGAGAAAATGTTCTACTTTTGGAAAAAAATCTTGTTGTCACCAGACGTATAGTTTTCTTTGTTAAGGAAGTAACTGTATGTCCCTAAGGGTATTTGTTAAATTTTATAAGAATACAATTTGCTGCGTTGTTCCCCGTAGCACAGTGTGTGTGTCGTGTGACACAAAGTCATAAAATCAAGGTGATGGACACCAAAATGGAAAGTGATTAAAGGTCATATCTGCACTGAATTTGTAAATCGGATCCTCCTACAGTGACCAAAGCATCAAACTTATAAAAACATTTTGCCTAAAAATAGTGAAAATGGCTTTTTTTTTTTTTTAAGTATCATAATGTTACTGTGAATGATTCCACACAAGGAAAATGCATGTGTTTTTGGAGTGACAGTGAAATAAATGTAGACTTCTGACACAGTTATGGTGCAAAAACGATGTATTAAAAGGTAGTTGAGATGTTATAAGTGAGTCATAAGGTACTTTTCACAATCTAGGTCAGTGATTAGAGGAAGCTCAACTCAGCATTTTCCCTGAATGGTGCAATTTACCAGTAATGACATTTTTTATTCATTAAAGACCAATGCATCATATTTTTTATTCGTTTATAGTTATATGTAAAGTTGTGGAACATGCACAAAACAAGTTAGTTCCTGTTATCACTTGCGTTATAGCAGCTATAAATAGTCAGGCTCTCATTTGCCTCTCTTTTTACTCTATCAGGAAGTTAATAAGACAAACAATGCAGCTTGTCATACTACAGAGAATCCACGCAAAGCTTTTCGTTCTGAAGAATTTCCTGTGTTGGAAACTTTAAAGTTACAGCTTTACTTCTGACGGTTACAAAGTGCTAACACTGGAGACTCCTTCCAAAAACGCTATGTAAACATCACAGAAAACTCCACCATATCACCCATTATGCACGTTTTTAAATTCTGTTTACGTGGGACGTCCATGATACAAGTCCCTGAATGAGCTGTTAGTATAGAAACAGCAACATATTAGAACAAGTGCATTAATGTAAACCTGTGATTTGCCTTGCAACCACAACTACTGGCAAGAAGGGTTCTTCAGATAGTAAAGGGTTCTTAGCTTCCTACAAGGGTCCTCTTGGAAACAGTTTTATAGGAAAATACTCATTTGTAGTATTCTACTTAAAAACTTTAAAGGTTCCCTCAGAGGGATAACTAAAGAACCTTACTGTGTCTAGAAGCTTTAATCTTTTTGAGTGTCTTTCATAATAATACTGATTCTATGTTAATAGAGCATGTATAACTAATGCATTATTACACAAGATATACCATCTGAATATGAACAGTGAGAATTCTTGGGCCGTTTGTGGATGCCTTTTGAAGAAATCAAATCAAATTCAAACTTTATTGGTCACATACACAACCATACACAGTATGACACGCAGTAAAATGCTTTTTTGTTGAAATGTTGATTCATTTATTTTTTTCAGTGCAAGATAACTAATACATTTGGTCTGATCTGAGGGATTATTTAGTCTATTATTCCTTGAATCTCAAAGATATAATCTGTTATCATAATAATAATGTCACTAAGAATATGTTGTTCATTTTTCATTTTTTTTTTTCAAAAGTTTTTTTTTTGTTTTAATTGCAAACCAAATTAATCCATATTCTTGATTGGGTTTAATCACTTCTCCAATCTTTATCTGAAAACAAACCAACAATCAAACAAACAAACAAACAAACAGTAAATGCAATATATTTCTGATCTATTATAACTGTCTCCTTGAGGGCACTCAGACAGGTGATTGACAGACTTTTCTGTTTAGATGTCGTGTGTGTGTGTGTGTAATGTAACCCTGTTGTCAATACTACTATGTTCTTATTATTTGGTGGAACACAAAGTTGTATATATATATATATATATATATATGTGTGTGTGTGTGTGTGTGTGTGTGTGTGTGTGTGTATCTATCTATCTATTTATCTATCTATTATTATTTTAATATTATTTTAATATCTATTATTATTATTATTATTATTATTATTCTAATATAAAATAAACACTTTGCAATGATGCTGCATGTCTAGGGCCAGGAAGATTCCTGTTCCAATCAAACAGTAAGGAAATGAATCCAAACTTATTGTCATTTATTTCCAGCAAGAGTGCATAAAAATATTGGCATGAACTTTTTTCCACCCTAGATAGTGTGCAAAACCATTCCATCACAGCTGGAAAACCTCTGCCTTCACACAGCTACGTAGTTTTCACAGCAGGAATAATGGAATGCAATGCTTATGAAAAAAAGCGACTTTTCATTGTAAAAGTGATCTCATTCATTGTTGAAAAAAAAAACCCTGCACACAGGGACAGATTAGATCTAAGCCTATAAATGCATGTTAATGAGAGAGGCAGGGCTGAACCTACTTTTCAGAGCGCTGATGAGCATGTTGCCATCCTTAATCAGCTCCTTTATGAATTTGTTTGTCCGATCCAGCTCAATTTCGTGACATTTGAGCCGATCTCTGAAGTCGGGACTGTCCAGGAACGAGTCGCTGAACTCCAGAGCTGGTAATCCCATTGTATTAACTGCAGCCGAGAGAGAAAACGCGACAAAACCACCACACTCTCACTCAGCTTAGTAGCGTCCCTCTTTCTCCTTCTCTCCTCTATTCCCGTTGTTCTTTTCTTTTCTTTTCTTTTCTTTTTTTTCCTTACGACTTACAGTTACCTTTCCAACTCTTGAAACTCCGTATCCAGAAAGCCTACTTCCGGCATGTTGTTTCCCACTCCATCACTAGGAGACGTTATTTTCTTTCACCGACTCGTATTCCGACAAACCCCGCCTCCTCTACTATGATTGGCTCAAAGCACTAGCGCCTCGGCTTTTCGATTGGTTGGCTGTTTATCCCTCCAAGCCGTTATCTGATTTGACGGAGTGGAGATGAAGCGCTGGCCAATCCTAGTGCAGGATCTGTGATTCGCCACGAAACGGGTGGGAAAAACAAAGAGACGTGAGCATGATAGCGGTAAGAGGAAGCAGGGGACTCCTGCTGGCCTGCTCCCAATGCATCAAGGACGGATAAAGAAGGTTATTCATGACTAAAATCACACCAAGAAAGCGTGTATATAGCTATTTGAGGAATCTAAAATGATGTGACAGGAAGGCAGGCTGTTTATTAGGACACTATGGACAGTCAAATAACAAGATCTTTCCACTGAATGACATATTTACATTTTCACAGTAAAGATGATTTATTATTATTATGACTATTGGGATAGCAGTAGTACTGCACTTGGGTGCTCTGGATAATTAAGAGTGCTTATCTTCCTACTTAGAACATTTACATGTGCTCATATGGCTGGTGCCTTTATCCCAAGTGACTCAGAGCTGAGACAGGATACAACTGAGCAGTTAAAGGTTAAAGGTCATACTCAAGACCTGGTGCTGGGATTTGAACTCACAACCTTCTGATCATTAGCCCCAAGCCTTAAACACTGAACCACCAATGAACACATGAGAAGCCATCACTGACAGAGAAACACTCAAATGCAAGGCTCAAGCTACAGAGGGAGGGATAAATCAAAGTTGCTGTGATTATTATTATTATTATTAGTATTATTATTATTATTATTAGTAGTAGTAGTAGTAGTATATCTAAATGTAGTATCATGAGAAAATTGTACAAATTTGAGGCTAATGTGGTTAGATTTCATTTGATTTCATACCATTTTCAAGTGTATGAAAAGGTATAAACACTAACCCCACCCCAACCCTAACCTTTACTTTTGTAACCTTTCGTTTGAATTAAAACTTTTTTTTTTTAACAAGTTGGCAAATGTGAGACCATATTGCATATCTACACTCTTCAAACTTCATCAAAGGTTCTTTCAGTTGGTTAATGCTTATAACTTTCTAAAGAAACCTTTCCTAAAGGATTTCCACTTAGAACCTTTAAGCATTCCCCCTTCAGGCAAATCAAAGAATCTTTTTTACACGCAGAAAAAAAGGATAAGAAACTGTACTTTTCCTTGTTACTCTGGTCTAGCTTTAGTGTATCTGTTAGGCGGTAATGTGAATATTGTGTACCTTTAAAAATGAATGTACATAATTGGACCTTAAGAACTACTCATGTACATTAATTGGCATTTAGGGTAAAGCTTTAAAGGTGCACCTTTCCAGGTAAAAGATACATAATAAAAGTATAAAAAAAAAAAAAAAAAACATACCCTTGAGAGTACCACCACAATGACAAGGAAAAGTATAGTTTACATTTTTTTCTAAGTGTAAGGTGCTATATAGAACCTTTTTGTTTATTAGTGTTCTTTGAATTACTCTTTCATAAACTAAGAGGATGGACTGCCATCTAGAGGACTACTTACAGAACATTCACTCCCAAACTGCAGGAGCTTAATAAATCAAGACAGATATTACTGTTTGAAATAAAGGGGTGGGGGGTTTTGGATACACCCCAGTGTTAGACCTGATAGACAAGACCTGACCAATCACATTCAATGATATATGTCATGCTACTGTGACATTCAGCGATCA